AGGCTGGCCGGTTGTGCGCTTGATCGCCACGACGGACTGTGGGATATGGGCGAACCGCGTCGAGTTTACGTCGGCGGGGTGACGATCGCAGTGGTGGGAGTTAGCACGCGACGGTCGCGATCGTCGGTGTGCGCATGGGGATCGATGATTGGAGTTGAGTGAGTGATTGGCCTGGGGCCATATTGGAATTAACGGCGAATGCGCCTTTGTTGTTGCGGATCTTTATCTCTTGCGTGAGTGCATGGCGGCAACGCCGAACTTCCTCCTTTCGGATCTTGTCATCTCCTATCTCGACTTTCCTCCCTCGTCTCCCTCTCTCTCCTCTATCTTTGAATGATGATGTGTCTTGGTGTTTGTCTCCCCCTTGGATGGGAATGAATCGGTGTGCTTTCCGGTGTGAAAGAACGTCTTCCGAAACTCTTCCATTAATTTCCTGGGTAAACTCCATACGTCAAAGAATTGACCCTCTTGTCTTGTGAACGTTGGATGCGAGTGTGCAATTCCCTCGGTTGATCCCTGTCATTTTCGCACCTTCCACAGTGAATGTATGTGTGGGGATGCTTGTCTTTTCGTGTTGGTTAAGCGCAACATTCGGTGGGATTTTGTCCGAGAATGCAAGAGTGTTTAGATTTGTAGTTCTGAATGTACTGTGCATGCCATCTGCCTTATGCTGCCCGACATCTGTAACCGATCTACAGGGCAGCCTCGAGAAACAAGGCGCCTAGAATCAACACCGCGGTGGCTTGCTAAACCTGAGTCGCGGGTCGGTGCCTCAGTTACGTACATGATTGAGCTGATGAGTGTTTTCTCCCTCTTTCTCCGTTAAAAAGGATTGATTGGTGATTACATGGGTGTTTTTCCTTGGTGACGTCTCGGAATCTTTGCAATTGATTGACATGTGGACTGACAAGCACCCTTCGATGAGGCGTCAGCCTCCCGTACCTCCCGTATCAACACGACCTTTTCCCTACAACGAGGATAGGACACGTGTATGCGAGTGGGACGTACGAGAAGCTGTCGCACAGATCGGCGGACGATACTACTTCCCTCCGGCTAACCGTTGTTCAAGATTTGTAGAGGTTGGGTTTGTCATTGTCGATACACACTTTCCACTCTACTCGATATTGTTGCCATTCAATGAGCTGATAATCATCCTGTGGACGACAGTAGAACCCCACTGCGCGCGCACTCTATGCACCGAATGTCAGCGCTTTGAGCGCTACGAAACCAGGGGTTTCCACTACCGAGTGCGGAGTGAGGACGGACATAGAGAAAGAGCGACGCGACTAAGACCCTCCACGTCGGATTCAGAACTGGTCAGTGAACGACGACGGGACTTAATACGGAAACGAGACACGGGAAGCGTGTCGAAGCCTTTCTGTTCTAAACGACCAGGTGGAAAGTCCGACAATATTTTCTGGATTGAATTTGTATTTTTCACTCCTCTCCCGCCAAACCTCCGCGCGCGATTAGCGCCGCGCGAAAAACGATCGACTTACTTCGTCGGACCAACACGGGGGATTTCAGTTCTGTCTGTGTCCCCACACTCAAATTCCCAAAAATCCTTGGCACACCCCATCTTGCTGTTTTTCTGGGACTCTTTCCACATGTCTAGCACTCCGAACGAAAGACAGCACAGGGCGTGAGGTTGGTATCGGAGCCGACACGTGTCATTTCTGATGATAGTAAGTCGAATTGGCGAGAGGTAGAAGAAGTCCCCCACCCGCTCACCGAGATCTTCCAGTGACCAGATTTATATCTGGTGCGGCTATACCGGCTAGACCAATGGTAGATGACAATATGGTGATCGTTAGCATCCCTGCCCCTTTCCCCTTCTTCCCTAACCATACCCAACACGAAGCTTGGTTGGAAGCCGTTGAAGCTCAAGGATATAGCGCGGGTGATCTTCCCCGTGTTCTTACCTTGGTCCTCCGTAATACATCGCATGACTGGTTTATAAAGCATACATGGGTGGATTGGAACACTTTCAAACAAACATTCTTGGCTCGATTCGATACGGTCAGTGAAGATGCCGCCTTGTACGTGCTCAAAACTCGGCCACAAGGACCAGGGGAATTGCTACCCGATTTCGTGGATAGATTTCAAACCACGTTGGACAAATCTGGGCGAGACGAGAAGTCCGCTCGAGATTTGTTCATTGATCATCTACGAAGTCCGACGTTGAAAGGGAAGTTACAGAAAAAGGTCCCGTCGAAGACACACCAGCTATCTACTATCATCGCTAAAGCATTGGAATTGGATTTGGCTGATACAAAAAAATATATCAGTTAGGGAGACGAAGATATTATGGATACCATACAGGATGTAGCGGCTAAAAGGCGATCGTGGTTGCGGGCGGTAGAACAGTTTTATCCCCGCCTCGACCATGACCTTCCCGACAAGATCGTTTCCGATATCCCGCCTATTTCCTCTTCCTCTCCCCCGGCGAATCAACCGATAACGACAGTTAGGAGTGGAATCTCCCACGAATTCCCCTCGCCGGCCGTAACCAACTTACATCTAGACCAAATGATCCATACAGCCACTACCAAGCAGTCCGAATGGATGAGCAACTTGATCCAAATGCAGGCCGCTCACATGGAACGGATGAAACAGATAATGAACAGGCTAATTAAGCCTAACCCGGCCCCTGCTCGGCCTGCCCCCGCGTCATTTCCACTCTTGCTTGCCCCGTCTGCACCAGGATACGCACCTCAGTTCCCTCACCCAACAAACCCAGCAGAAAAGATCGAGTGTTTTAACTGCAAACAGCCCGAACATTTTGCCTGGGACTGTCCGCAGCCAAAACGTAATCAACCCCCGCCAGCTGCGGCTCCTGTTACCCTGAATCAAGGACGAGTGGCCGCCTTGATGGATACGGCCCAAGGAGGGGAACTCGTGGCATATGAGCAGCCTTCCCTCTCAACGGCAATAGCGTAAACATCGGGATCTTCTCACTCTGACGCTGCTGACGTGGTCGATCCACTCGAGTATCTTCATCTAGCGGGCATGATCGGGGCGATCCGATCGGCCCTCGATGATCTTGAATGGGTCGATCGCGATTCTAATCCCGGCCCACAATTTAGGATGGGCGAAATTGATGTGTTACGAGCGCTCAAGCAGCTAGATATCCGTGTTTCGATCCCGGTGGGACACTTGCTCACCATATCTGAAGCTGCAAATGACAAACTGCTACAACAATGTCAGAAGAATCAAAAGCGCTTCACGTACCAGCGCGTACAGCGAATGTTAAAAAAAAAGGAGGAGGAACAAGAGGATGCTGCGCCACCAGAGCCTGAAACGGGTGAACCCGAAGCAGCACGAGTAACTACAATTTCGTTAGTAGAAAGGGATCATTTCATACGAGCTCGACCAGTATTGTGGAAAAGCGCTGAATGTGATTGTGAAGTTTGGGGCAAGCCATTTAACGCCCTTATCGATACAGGGTCTTCTGCAGTAGCCATATCATTAGACACTGTTAAAAAGACGGGACGACTCGGATCCATTCTCCCTCAATTTGAAAAAGACAATTATGTCTCTGCCAACGAGGAAGCAATGAACATCGTGGGAATTATTGAGAACGTGGCTGTAAAGGTAGGACGAGTACACGTCCTTGTTAACGCACTAGTAATAGATGTGCGTTCCTATTCTGTGTTGTTGGGACTACCTTGGGCGATGGCGGTAGGGGCCCGTCTGCATTTCGATTCAAAACAATTGGTGCTCACTCAAACTGGGGGAAAGCCTCAAACTGTTCCCTTGCGAATTTCCACCCGAACGATAAAATGAACTCCTAACTCAGCCCAAATAGGGATGATTCGGTGCATTGATCCCGAGGAGCATTCTTCCTCGGACATCGGTAGCGGAATCAGGGAACAAGAATACGAAGAAAAATTACCTAGTGAAGATGAATGGAAGCACCTGGTCGAACTTTTCGAACACGAACTCCCGAAGAATTTCGAGTGTGCCCTAACACTGCCCGAAACTTCCACGTGGATTAAGGAGACAACGCGCTTGCGCCTCCAAAGACCCAGGTCCTCCTCGGAGAGCCCATATTACAAGCATCTGACCTGGTTGATGATTTGGAACCCCCTCGTACCTTGTACGAAGGAGCACTTTCCTTGCGAACACGTTATCAACAAACGAAACATTATCTAGATGTTTTCGTTTTTCCAGCCAGGTCGTTACTAACGACGGGGGCGACCATCGCTTTGATTAAACAGGAAGCAGAAGCCCCGGTAGATGACGTGCATGATCTCATGCAGGAGATGGCGGACCTGACGGGACTGACCGTGGAGCAGATTTCGGCCGACTCAGAAACTGACACCGAAACTAAAGAAACCGAAATGATCAGCCCCGCCGAATCACAGATGATTGGAACTGTCTTCTCTGTTCGCACCAGTGGTTCTGTCTTTTCGAGTGTCTACGATCAACGGGAGCGGCCGGGTGATTGGATCGATGTACCCCTTAAGACTCCGGGGGAATCAACGATCACCCTACCGAGCCACGTCCCCACGGAATTTCGAAAGTCATTAATCGATGTTTTGAACGGTTATGCAGAGGTGCTGAGCGTGCATGATAATGATATCGGCTTGACTAGCGTGATCGAGCATGCCATCCTCACGGGAGAACATCCACCCATTAACTGCGCTCCTTACCGATACTCGCCAGCTCAGAGAGCGGCCGCTTTTCAGCGGATTAAGGAGTTCGAAGCTAAATTATGGATGGATCGAACCTGCTATAGGTCCATGGTCTTTTCCCGTAGTAATCGTGCCTAAAAAGGCCAGAGGGATTCACATTTACATTGATTATCGAAAATTGAATGATATCACGATCAAAGATGTGTACCCCCTCCCCCGGATTGATGAGTTGTTGGATGCGATTGAGAGTGCCCGATTTTTCAGTAAGTTTGATGTTCGCCATAGGTTCCATCATCTTCTTGTCCGAGAAGAAGATCGTCTGAAAACAGCGTTTGTGCTTTTTGAGGGTACGTGGCAGTGGATTCGATGTCCGATGGGTATCTGCAACGCCCCCGCGACCTTTCAGCGAGCCATGAATATGTTTTTTCATAATTTCGTACGAAAGACTCGTTTGGCGGAGAGCATCATCAACTACTGCGTGATTGTGTACATGGAGGACATTCTGGTGTGCTCGAGTTCCTACGAGGGACACGTGCAGCACATCGAATGGGCTCTGCTTGCGTTACGAGATGCGGGCTTTAAAGTGACGCTTGAGAAGTGTAAGTTTTTTCTTACCACCATTTCCTTCTTAGGACACGTGGTAACAGACAAGGGGCTCCAACTGGAGCCGCAGAAGGTGGCAGCTGTCAGAGATGCCCCGGTGCCTTCGACTATCACGCAAGTTCGCGCCTTTTTGGGCCTCGCCTCGTACTACCGAAAATTCATCAAGGGCTTCGCGGCGATCGCGGGACCCCTCACGAATCTGTTGCGCAAAGATCAGTCGTTGATCTGGACGCCGGAGTGTGATCAAGCGTTTTCGAAACTCAAGGACGCTCTCATTTCAGCTCCGGTCCATATAAGACCGGATCCCGAAAAGCCTTTTGTTCTCATTACTGCCTGGCAGCCAGAGACAATTTCGGCGATCCTCGCCCAGGTAGGACCAAGTGGACTCGAGAGCGTGTTGGAGTATGCGTCCAAATCGGTGCCAGCCTGCAAGCGCAACTACGCTGCTCCAACGGGAGAATGCTACGCGGCACTCTGGGGAATCAGCCACTTTGCTTACTTGTACGGGCGGAAGTTCACCTTGGTGACCGATCATGTGGCTCTGAAGAAATCGAAGGACTACTCTGGCATGATCGGGCGATGGGCAACGGTGCTGCTGAGCATGGACTTTGACATTCGTCATTGAAAGGACGAGAGACACGGGAATGCGGACGGACTGACACGACTGCACCAGTGAGCGAGTTCCGAAGAGCGACGAGGTGATTCCGTGGAACGAACCCGAACAGGAGGTTGGGCCTCGGTACCGCCAAGTGGAAATCTTGTCAAAGCAGTAAGTGACACGAGGACCAATTTGTCTGTTGTACCCTCTTTGCAATCCAGTCCCATCTCTCCTCCTTTGTCATCATGACTACCCCACCTGTCTATGCAACCCCTTCCTCTCCTACTAATTCTGCCCCTCTCACTTCCTCAGCCTTCTTTGCCACCCTCCCCGATAGATTCTGTTACTTTTGTACGTGTATTGCACGGGTTTATGGGGTCGACTGTCATCCTTTCGAAACCGGGTTTCTCGATTGGGTAGAATGTGCCACGTGTGTCAATCGTGCGCACGGGGCCTGCGTTCGATATCGAACGAATAGCAAGGAATGGAGGTGCCCCCTGTGTAGAACGAACAAACTCCCCACGGAGGTTCGTTTCGAGGCCGCCCGTACGGACGACCCTGAATACGACGAAAAATACCGACGAGCGGAGGTTTGGACGGATAAAATTTTATTGGCGAAATTAGCGGGATTATCACTGGGACACCTCACCAAACACGACAGACGTAGGGCAACTGAGAGATCTCGGGACTATCGGTGGATCCACGGTCATTTGGAGAAGCGCAAAACTGACGGATCGGGTTCGTGGTTGACGGTTCCCCATCCATTCCAGAGATATGATTGGATCCGATCGGCTCACGAAGAACAAGCCGCTCATTTCGCGATACGTGTCACGGAGGCAACTATAGACCAGAACCGATGGTCTGGTCCAACATACGACATGATGTCAGATACATTGTCGCCAACTGTCTGGTCTGTGCCGATGATCGCGCCCCAATACGGGGACCAAACACAATAGTACCAACGTCGAACGCCCCTTCCAGCGAGTCAATATGGACACAACAGATATCGACGTGCCACCTAGCCCAAACCGCTGTGAATATTCTATCCTGTTAGTATTAATAGACCATTTTTCCAAGTACATCGAGGTCTATCCCTGTAAGACCCGAAAAGCTGCAGAAATAGCCACGTACATCGAACGGTTTCTCTATACCCATCTATATACGGAAGAAATTCTAACCGACAATGGGTCCGAGTTTAAGGGAGAAGTAGAGGAACTGCTCGGACGAAGGGGCGTCACGCTCTGACATACGGCCCCCCACGTGTCCCAGTCGAACGGGTTGGCTGAGAACGCCAACCGTATGATTAAAACCGCCCTTCGCAGGAATTTAGCGGCACACGACACGCGTCCGTGGCCTGAGATCGTATATCAGATCGTCCGGATCCACCGGGCCACCCCTCATGAATCCACGGGGTTTACCCCTTTTCAGCTTCGTACTAATAGCCTCCCCTGTGTCGACTACCGGGGTATCTCGGAAATTGCCGAAGCAGGGGGTAGAGACACGCGTGCAGCCCTCAAGGCCAAGGCCAAAAGGTACACCGAATTAATGGAGCAGGCGTCCCGAAGCTAGCCAGAAAAAGACAAAGGATGACCGATCGGGCCCACGGTCGGCAGGTCCGTAGCTGCGAGGCTCGGAATGGAAATGATGGGCCCCAACATCAATATAAATTAGGGGACCTAGTGCAGATACGTAAATTTGCACGCGGCCACGAACTCGCTCCCAGATTCTCTGGCTGCTTTCGCGTTGTCGAGCTCGGTCCTAACGGCGCCAACAGGGTGCGCATTGCGCCTGAGGCTAGTGCCAGCCATAGCTTTGTCCCCATCGTCTAGCATACCTCCTATCTTCGTCCTCTTCCTCCCGCTCATCTTCCTCCCTCTCCCTCCTCTGAAAGCGAGGAGAACGACAACAATCTAACTCTCTCTCCGCCCTCCCCCTCCTGCCCTTCGTCTTCCTCTCCGACCTCGCCATGAGTTTCATCACGGAGCGGGCTCTTGACGAACAGCTGTTGCAGCCACGTGGCCACATCTCTGAAATTCGGCAAGTTCGTCATCCACGGCTTAATACTGATCTTCGGCGCTTGGCGCAGTTCTTCTGTGACGTGGGTGTGTGTGTTGCCGCCGCGTTTCGATTCGAAGGGAGCTCAGAGGCAGTGGTAGTGGCGGACGTAATAGCAGTTCATCGACGAGCGGCTCCCGGAATGAGCCACGTCACCGCGGTTGCGGCTTTCAGCGGCGACATCAGTTCACTCAATCCACGGTGGCATACCGCTAACTTGGCCTCGTTGCGGGAATGGATGGAGAAGGTCTCCAACGCGTGGCAGCACGGTCTTTCCCGGCCAGGGCATAACTTCATTCCGACCTTTGCACCGGATCTTGACAAGATCCGCCGTTCCCCACGCGAGTCGCCGGTTGCAATCCCCACCCTCGTTCCTTTCCCACGTCCCCAATGAACCACGCCGACCCCCTCGCTCCTCTCTCCATCTTCGGTCTTCCCTCCCTTTTCCCCACCTTCTGGCAATCCGATCTTCATCCTTCTCTTTCCTTCTCGTTCGAGCCTCTTTCTGTCCCACTTATTAATCCTGGGCATTGGTGACTGTGGCGCGAAACTTTTAACGAGTTGTCCTTCTGCTTGGCCCGAGTACAGGTGACGTGAACGCAGAACAGCGAGCATCCTGCGTGGATCGAAAATTTGGAACTCCTCATCATACAAGCTTGGAGGACTAACGTCGAGGGCGATCTTCTCGGCTTCCTCTTTGGAGCGGTACGACCGGGTCGCCGCCAGTTGATTGCGCAGGAGCTCATCGCGCCGATCGTGCAATTGGCGGACGATCTCTCGCCCGACATCTTTTCGCAAAGTGACGACAGCCCCGCTCCGTACGTTCTCAAGCGGTCGTTGGATCCGTACCTTTAGTGGAATGTGTGCTTGGAGGAGCCCAGGGACGAAGATACGCTACCATCACGGCAGGAGTATCTGAAGCCTTACGACATCATCCCTCACGCCTTCTATCCGAAGGCGAAGGAAGTGGTGATTGACGACGACGAGGAAACGTCGGAGGAAGGAAGCTATAGTGAGTATAGCGAAGGCGAGCTGAGTGAAGAAGAAGAGGAGGAAGAAGAAACCGGGTCTGAGTGGGAAGCCCTGCCGGAGGAAGCCGCGCGCACGGGCACGGAGACGGAAGACCCTGAGGCCACACGCAAGCGGGAAGAGATTGCCACCGGGAAGCGCCAGTTGGAGTTAGCCAGCGGAACAAGCCTGTGCATCAGTGACGATCCGACCAGGAATCCGGAGCCGCCGAAGCCTGAAGATGGCGACCCCGCAACCGCCGCCCCAAGTACCGCGCGACGGAGACAGAGCAGATCCCCCTCCTCCTCCAACCCCACCCGTCCCCCAGTTCGCCCACGTACCGATGCGGGCGATAGGCCTTCGTCCTCGGACGTTATCCCGCCGTCCCTTTAATTTTCTCACCCTCGAACAGATTCGCACCCCCGTCACCTTCCCCCTCCATCCCTTCCTTCCCCATCGCTTCCGCGATTTCTACTCTACCCGCCTACTCGCTACCGTCTACCCCCACCCATCCCTTCAGCCCGCTGCCCCCACGTTCGGCTGGCATATCCTATTGTTCAACGCTGCATGGGAGCGATGCAACGTGGTAGAAGCCTACTGCGTGGCGACGGGGACAATCCCCGCCTGTCGCCACTACGAGTTCTTTCGAGCGGCGCTCCTCCGCACCCTCTCCACCTTCTATCGCGACTACCTCGCTTCCCTCCCTCATAGCGGCGATCACTTTCCTCGCTTTCACCGGATCATCCGATATGAGGAGCTTCCGGTGACGGTAGAAGGGATGAATCGCTACCTACCCCCACTTCCTCCCTGTCGTCCCCGTGAGATCCCCTCCATGTACCGCCTCTACTGGCCCATTCCAACTAGGCGGTAGATCCCGATCACCTGACTATTCCCCCCCCCCCCCTCTCTTCATCTAATCAGCAGGGGAAAGCGGCACGAATCAGTAAGCTTCGCTAAGATCACGCCAACGACGATGACGTCAACCTACGCTCTGATTCGACGGGCGGCGACAAACTGGGGTGCAGAGCACACGGAGAACCGGCGGACGATGATGGCGTCACCTGGACGACCATCGATGATTCCAGCACCACGATGGCAATTGAAGATGGCGTCAACATGGACTCTGGATGGATCGCTTGTTGATACGCTTGGTTCCTCATTCATCACTCTGTTCTCTCTCTCCCTCTCTCCTTCTCCTCCATGACATGCAATCAGGAGATCGCATAATTTTGGAACCCCCTGCGCGTTACATATGTGACGAACTACTTCCCGAACCCGTGCTATCTTTCGTACCCTTTTCGCTTGTATCATACCCACCCCATAAAAACCCTGTTTCGTTTTCTTGATTTCGGGTGTCGCGTTTTTGGCCCCCATCTTTCAGAAGCTTTTACGATTCCCGGGTTCTGCTTTTTCTTTTTGCAATTCGGAAAATGCATAGGAATTTACGTGCGCCTTAGCGAGCGCACTGAGAATTGGGCCCGGCAGTTGGGAATTCCGGGATAAGCGGAACTTTGACGTGTCCTTTTTGCGTGTGAATGTTCTCGGTCGCGTTGGGGAAAACTCTCGGAATTTTGCGGGAATACGAATAGGCGTAGGACTTTCTTTTCCCGCGTCGCTCTTTCGCGCGCGGATATGGTGATTTCAATTTTGAATTGGTTTAAGATGTAGGCAAGTTGTAACTGTTTCGGTGTCTTTTTCTCTTTTTTTGTTGACGGCGCCGCGCATGCACAACTTTCTCCTCTCTGTCCCCCGCATCGCTCTCTCCCGCGCTCCTTTTTCCTTCCTCCTTTTCCTCTCTCCTCATAACTGTTTTTCTCCCTCTCTCTCTCTCCCGCTCTGCTCTTTCTGCGCGCCCGTTTCCCTTTCTTGATCATCTGAATCTTGGACCCGTCTTGCGCTACCTCTCGCGCCTTTCTTTTCTCGCCCTTTGAGCCTTCGAGCAAAGCTTGCGAAGTCCGGTCGATCCTTCGATTACTCTGGCCCACCAATCAGACGCGTGGTACGGTAGGATCTGCCTATTGCGCGACGAGTCTGATTG